AGAATTCTGTGGGAATGTAGCCTTGGCATCAGTGTTAACAAACTCTGGGGGTGATTCCTGAGCACTGTAAGTTTGAGGACTGCTACTCAATACAAGTCATTGAGTAACCTATGGCTGCTAACCAAAAGGTTTTGAAAATAAAAATCTACTTTCTGCCCACAGATCAAGTGAAGGTGACAGAGTCTGCAGGGCTAACTGGCCATCATTCTGCCAGCAGCGTAAACCATGATATTTAACAGTGGGAGGCAAACAATTGATGATCTTTCAACAGTAGTGTGAACCCAGCAGTACCAAGAGGACAATTCTCTTGTTGAACATACAATTTCCAAACTTCTCTTCAACCCTAGCATCACTGTGGCACAAGTCTAGACAATCGTTCCTTTTTAGCTTCTTGGGCTTGAAGGCTAAAATCTTCAAGTAGTAGTTAGGAAGGGAGAAGGAAGAAAGATGGTTATCATTTTTAAATTATTTAATTTTAGAGAGGGAGACAGACGAGCTCATATACACTTCCATCTGCTGGTTCACCCCCCAAACGCTCAGGATACAGGAACCCAATCCATGCCTTTCACATGGGTAGCAGAGACCCAAATACTTGAATCATCACCTGCTGTCTCTCAGGGAATACATTAATAAACTGGGCCCTGCACCCCATGGGAGACCAGGATAAGTACCTGGCTCCTGCCATCAGATCAGCGCGGTGCGCCGGCCGCAGCGTGTCAGCCACGGCAGCCATTGGAGGGTGAACCAACGGCAAAGGAAGACCTTTCTCTCTGTCTCTCTCCACTCTGCCTGTCAAAAAAATAAAAAAAAAAAAAAAAGAGCAGAGGTGGGAATCAAATCCAGGCAATCTGATACATAATGGGGGTGTCCCAAACTATACTTAACACCTGCCCAATTAAGAACATTATTATAAGGAAATCCTAAACTATATCAAAAACATCAAGAAGTTCAAGCCTTTTCCTCTCCCTACAGTAGAGGAAAAAACCTTGTTTTCTTTTCTACGTGAAGGAAGCTGAAAATATAATGAGGCAAGGGAAATGTAACTGTAGTTTTAAAAATTAAAACATCCTCTGGGGAGGTAAATCAGAAACATATGCACTGAAAGCAAATGGAAGAGCAATGGGTTACCACTGAGGAAATGTGGGTTCTGGTCCTGTTTACATCCTCTAATGTAAATGTGACCTTACACGATTCACTGAGCCACTTTTTCACCCAAGGGAGTTAAGGTTTATAAGGAAAGAGCTTTGTAAGGCAGCAAGGAATGTCAAAACTAAGTGTCATTATTATCATCAGTGACAAAATGTATTTTCTGTAATTCAGAATGTAGCAGAACAAATGTAGGGCAATGAGTTGTTTCAACAGAGGCAAAGGATATCAAATTCTTGGAGTCAAGAATTCTGGGAGCAGTTTTATCATCACATGAAACTATACATACTGTTTCTAAAATAACATCCAAGGTAAAAACAAATAACATGGCACATAGGGGCAAAATCTAGGCCACTCTCACTGAACTGCTCCTGTTTCTCACTTTATCCAGGTGCAAGACCAAGATTCAACTTCTCAACAAAAATAACTCAATGTGGCTTGGTGCAGTCATTCAGATAATGGTGGTTAATGATTCAGCACAACCTCTTCCTACTGACCTATCTACCCACATCTAATCGAGTTGCCAAGCTAAGTTCCCCAGCTGGAGCATCACATAAACAATGGGACTACAAAGAAAATAGAAAGAATGATCAGTATGGGGCCAGCACTGTGGCATAGCAGGTAAAGCTGCCACCTGCAGGGCCGGCATCCCATATGGGTACTGGTTCTAGTCCTGGCTGCTCCTCTTCCAATCCTGCTCTCCGCTATGGCCTGGAAAAGTAGTACAAGATGGTCCAAGTGCTTGGACCCCTGCACTCCCATGGGAGACAGAGAAGCACCTGGCTCCTGGCTTCAGGTCGCCACAGCTAAAGCTGTTGTGGCCATCTGGGGAGTGAACCAACAGAAGGAAGACCTTTTCTTCTCTCTCCCTCTCACTGTCTGTAACTCTACCTCTCAAATAAATAAATGAAATCTTTAAAAATAAATAAATAAATCTTTTAAAAAAAATGAAAGGATGATCAGTGGTCACTGTCATCAGTCAATAGGTCCATGATTCTAAGAACTTTGAAATCTGTTTAACACTTTATCACCCTGAGATTTTAGATCAAATTTAAGTGTACTTGTAATTATGCAAGGAAATCCATTACTTATCTTTAAAGGAGGGATAGCACAGTGTACTGTAGGTCCTCAGGACTAAGTTTGAAAGCTGGCTCCAAGTTTCCTATCTTCTGTAAACCTCGGTCATGAGGTTCATATTATGAGTTCATAATTATGTTATATATGAGTTCATATGAGCTCATAATTATTAGTCCTTCCCCATGTGGCTGTTGGGACATTTAAATAATACCTGATTATAAAACCCTTTGTACAGTGTCTTGCACATTGTAAGTACTTGATGAGGTCTTTTTATTCGAGGTAGCAGTATGGAATAGGCACTCATTAAAGGTTAACTCTCCCTTTCTCATTTTGTACTTCAAAGGTACAATACATTCCAACCAAATTATGAAGTAACAATAAAATACAGTATGTGCCTAACTCAGGACTGAGTTTTCCTGATGTTGACATTTTCTTTCATTATGGTTTTGGAAACCAATTTTGAAATTTACCCTAGCTATAATTAGAGCCAATGGATAAAATATTGCAGCTTAAATTTGAGTTGGTGCCTTCAGTTTTTTTTTTTTTTGTTTTTTTTTGTTTTGACAGGCAGAGTGGACAGTGAGAGAGAGAGACAGAGAGAAAGGTCTTCCTTTGCCGTTGGTTCACCCTCCAGTGGCCACCGCGCCTGGCGCGCTGCGGCCGGCATACCACGCTGATCCGATGGCAGGAGCCAGGTACTTATCCTGGTCTCCCATGGGGTGCAGGGCCCAAGCACTTGGGCCATCCTCCACTGCACTCCCTGGCCACAGCAGAGAGCTGGCAACCGGGACAGAATCCGGCGCCCCGACCGGGACTAGAACCCGGTGTGCCGGCGCCGCAAGGCGGAGGATTAGCCTAGTGAGCCGCGGCGCCGGCACAGTTTTGATTTTAAGGTTTTTTTATTTGAAAGGCAGAGTTATAGAAAGAGAGAGGGAGAAAAACAGATCATCCATCTGCTGGTTCACTCCCCAGATGGCCACAATGGCAGGGGTTGTGTCAGGCCAAAATCAAGAGCCTGGAGTGTCCTGCTGGTCTCTCACGTGGCTGCAGGGGCCCAAGCACTTGGTCCATGCTTGCTGCCCTTCCAGGTGCATTAGCAGTGAGCTAGATTGGAAGTGGAGCAGCTGGGTCCGGAACTGGCACCCAAATAGGATCCCAGCACTGGAGGCACTGGCTTAGCATACTACACCACAACAACGGCCCCAGTCTTATTTTCCTAGTCAATATTCAATACAGCTTTTCAAACATTTTTTTCTAATGTTACTGATGAACAGTACCTCTAAAATGACAACTTCCTGCTACCTGTTCTAATCACCGTCATCACGGGGCCTGGCATGGACCGAAGGTTTGTGTCCTTCCAAAACTCATGTGTTGAAACCCTAACCTCCAGTGTGCTGGTACTTGGAAGTGATTACATATAGATAAAGTCTTGAAGGTGAACCCTCCTCTCATAAGAGGAGAGACCAAAGCCACCATGTGAGGACACAATAAAATGTGGTCACTCGGCAAGCCCTGCATAAGACCTTCACCATAACCACACTGCCATCTGAGCTCAGACAACAGCACTGCAGGCTCCAGAACTATAATCAACACATGTCTGCTATTTAAGCCACCCAGTCTTTCGCTTTGGTTATAGCAACCTAAGCTGACTAAAGAAAAGCTGAATCTGTATATATGACACACATTAAATTTGTACACTTAATTTAAAAAAGATGCTACATATTCAAACCACAAAGAATTGATTGAATTGTTAAGACTTTTAAATATTTTATGAAACATTTAAAATGTGTAAATGGTAAAAAATAAACATTCTATGAATTTTTAGAAATTTATCTAATAAATATGCCCTGAAAGTTCTAACATCACCTACACAAACAATAGAGAAGACACAGCCCCTCTCTTGAGATTTCCATTTAATGACATCATTAAACTAGAAATCTCAATGCATTGTGCTATTATAGGAACACACACACGCATGTGTCCAGACCCATGTGCACACACACCTGCATATATTCAGACACAAGCACATTTAAAGAGAAATAATGACAATGAGAATTCAAAAAAAATTTATGTCTGTGTCTGTGATGGAGCATAAATAAGAGAAAAATGAATATTTGGACAATTTTCTCCATATTTTAAAGTGTTCTATAAAACAATTCTTACAAATACAATATTATAATCAACTATTAATAAAATTCTCAAGTCTCCTCTATCCTACTAAAATAACATTTCTGAAAACACATATCTGTACATTAGTGGCACATATACAGCGCAAATGCCCATCATTCATGAGTCAGATGTATCTATGAACCATGAAAGCCCAAGAAACTAATTCAATACCTCTTCAGCAGAGCCCTAATGTAAAGGAAAAGCTTTCTATTCTATAAGATCCATTTGAAAATCCATTTCACACCTCTAATTTAAAGCCAATTCAAATCTAATTTACTTTATCAGAGCCCTTCATTTTGTAAGGGTCAGAAGTACAATCATCAGAAATTACAATTACTTATGCTTATCAAGAGACAACCTGGTAGCAGTATAGCTGAGCAAGAAAAAAAAAAAAACAAAACTAAAGTGAAATGCCCACTGGAGAGCATGGGTCTTATTGTATGAACAGATCTTACAAGCCAACACATTCTAAGAAAAAGCTTTAACTTGAGCCATCTCTATACCAAATGCAGTATCATTTATCACTTTATTTTATAATCCCCATATCCCTTTTGCAATTTTGATGATTTAAGAGAGGTAACATCTGCAGCATAAAATATTAAACTTACCACTTTCATCATCTATATTGAACCTTCCAAGCCCGCTGCCATCCCTGATGGAGTACTGGATCTCTCCATCCCTCCCAGAGTCTTCGTCTTGAGCAGTCACCTGTAGCACACTTGTTCCAATGCGGGAGTTTTCTTTTACAGATCCAACGACAGCAAAGTCCGGGAAATAGGGGGTGTGGAGATTTTCATTGACATCCACTACTTCTACTTCAACAAAGGAAACAGATGACAGAGAGACAGGCCGCCCTTTGTCTTTGGCCCGAACTGTGAGGTTATAGAACTGCTGTTTTTCATAGTCTAGCTCTTTGCTCAAGCGGATGGCACCACTTGCTTTATCTATTTCAAATCTCCCATTATAGTCATTGACCAAAGAATAGCGTACTTGACCCCCCAATCCAAGATCTGGATCATGAGTCTCCAACCAAGCAATGACAGTGCCAACAGGGAGATCTTCAAGAACTTTCACACTATAGCTACTGGGAATAAACGTGGGGGAGCAATCATTGACATCATCCAAGAAAACCTTAAGAGTAACAACTGAAAACAGCTGCTGACCACTTTCTGCCTTGTCTCTGGCTTCTATTTTTAAAGAATAGTTTGCTTTGGATTCCCGGTCCAACTGGTCAGCTACATAAATGATTCCAGTTGAGCTGTTAATAGCAAACTGCTGTGTATCCGTCAAGACTGAGTAAGTCACTTCTCCGTTAGAACCCAAGTCTTTGTCTCTGGCTTCCACTTGAATAATCTCAGTACCAATGCCTGAACTTTCCAGAATATTCACAGAGTAACTGTCCTGAAGAAAAACTGGGTTATTGTCATTAGCATCCTCCACATTGATGGTCAACAACCTCCATGAAGATTTCTGTGGATTCCCTAAGTCATAGATGGTGATATTAAGGAGATAGAGGTCTGTGTGCTCTCGATCCATGGGCATGAGGACTTTAAGTTGCCCTGTCTCCATGTCAATGTTAAAGCAACTATCTGTATTTCCATCAGAGATTGTAAATAGCACCTTTCCATTGAAGCCAGAGTCGGCATCATAAGCTTTAATCTTCAGAATGTTAGCACCAACTGGCATATCCTCCTTCACAGCCACATCAGAAGGAAAAGACTTGTCAAAATGTGGTCCTTGCCTGTTAATGGAATAAAAGTCAAGAAATCCATCTTCCAGATTCAGTTTCCCATTTGCTTTTGCCTTAATGAGTAGTTTCTCTGCCAGCTTTTGAGCCACACGAGTTTCTCTGCAACTGAAGCTCTTTGAAGACACTTTCCCATGGAGAATTGAAATGTTAATAGCCATGGGGTCTGCAAAATTCTCTCCATCAGTTGCTGTAATTCTCAGGGCAAAATTACCATTTTTAATGCCGGAGTTCACAAGTGATTTTTTAAGCTGCAAAACACCAGAGTCTGGGTTTAAGTAAAAGAAACCAAGGTCATTGCCAGAAATGATTTTGTACTTTACAAGTTCAAGTTCATCAATATCGATTGCTGAGACAGCTGTGATGTGACCACCAACTGGAAAGTCATATGAAATAACTCCCTGGCAAGCCACTTTCTCAAAGAGGGGGCTGTTGTCATTAACATTACCTATTCGAATAGTCACATTTACCTCACTTTCATGGCGGTACGGTGAACCCCAGTCAGAAGCTCTAACAATGAATCTGTAAGTTTCTGGAGAGGATTCAAAATCCAGTTCTTCAGTTGTGCTAATAACACCTGTAAACTGGTTAATGGCAAATGGTAACAAATTCAAGCTGGCAATACTATAGGTGATATACCCATTTTCTCCTTTATCTTTATCGTAAGCTGAAACCATCAGAACGCTGGTTCCCACAGGAACACTTTCATTTACAAAAGCATCGTACAATGGCTGCTGAAACTCTGGGGTGTGGTCATTTGCATCTTCTATGCCAATGGTTACCTGTGCTTTTAAATCTCCTTCCTTGTTCTTCACCTCCAATTTATAAACTTCCTTCTTAACGGTATTCAGTGGCTGAGCTGTGACAATCAGCCCTGATCGAGGATTAATTTTGAAGTACTCTGCATCCTCACCAGGAGATAATTTGTATTCCACATCTGGAGGCTCAGGAATTAATTTTACTATAGCAACCATGACACCAGGAGGGGAAAACTCGCTTATGCTCACATCATATTCTTCTTTTTCAAACTTAACTGGGACAGTGTCTCTTCTGGGGTTGGCAATATGGACCATCTTTAATGCTGAAAACTTCTGAGGTGACCCTTTGTCTTTTGCTTGAAGAGTGAGATTGTAGCCATAGAAAAAGCTCTCCCAGTCAACCTGCTTCCTCTCCTTAATCTTGTACTCATTCATCCACTTTCCTTCCTTAGCCAGGAAGAACTGGTCTAAAGGGTCGCCAGCCACAATAGAGACAGACTCAATCTCTCCATTGGCTCCCTCATCTAGGTCATCGACAGTTACCACTGCATATGTCGGTTCTTTGTCCAATGAGAAAGGTATGTGAGTGACCACATGGATGGTTGGAGCATGTTCATTTATGCGTTCAATGTGAACATAAAGCTTAGCAGTACTGCTCACTCCATTGTTTCCGTAGAGTTTCATTCCCCGGTCCACAGCCAAAATTTCCAGATCATACCTATTCTTTTCATCATAATTTAATCGTCCACTTAAAGAGATGACACCACTTGTGGGGTGAACTGAGAAGAGATCAACTTTGTTTTTAAAGTAGTAGTAGAATTCCCCATTGGACCCAATATCTGCATCTGTTGCTGTCACTTGAGCAACGCTAGTCCTTAGAGGTGTGCTCTCTGCTATGGTAACAGAGTATGTTGTGGGTGAAAACAGAGGTCTCAGATCATTCATATCTAAGACCTGTATATTCACTTTGGTCCATGCTTCCAAATCCTCTCCTCTGACAGAACCTTTTACTATCAATAAATAATTGTCCTGAATTTCCCTATTCAGTATGGCAGAATTGCCACCTTTAGTTCTTATTCTGAGAAAACAGAAATCTGCAATGACGACTTCCTCTGCTTTGAAAAAGCCTTCCTCATCTCCAGACACTATTCTGTATTTGATATCCCAGGACAGATCTATGAGGGTGATGCCCATTCTACTCTGGCTGTTCACGTAGGTCCTTGCTGCGGAGTTCTCATACACTGTAGCATTGTAAATGGAATGGGTGAAGTGGAAGCCCAGGGCTCCAGTCCCTGGCAGCCCCTGGGAGACAGTGGCCAAAAGCTTGAGGAGCAGGAGGATGAGGCAAGGAGGAGGAGGCCGTGTACCCACACAGTGTCCCATAATTATATCCATCACATCATACTTCCATCCTGGAGGGGAAGAAAAGAGAAAAAAGATAAATTAGCCTGGAAGAGAGGGGCAGATGGAATAAGAAATAACTGTCATGAAGCTGAGCTTCTTGAAAACTTCATATAAAATCTTTTTAATAAAACATCAATACTGGGAAAAAATGAGAAACCTTACCACTACTAGATAATATAGAATTCACAATCATGAGGGTTTAATCTTATCTTGTTTGAATGTTTTCAAATGACACTTTTACACTGTTGATGTGAGGCTTCTTACATTCTGAAGGTCAATTTAGAAACAGGTCTTAGAGACCTTTAGTGCATTTACCTTTGACTTAGAATTCTCTACAAGTTAATTATTATAAAGATATTTAGGCAAGTGTTCATTACAGCATACTTAAAAAAAAAAAACAGAAAACATACTAAATGTCTATCAACAGAGAATCAAACAATTCATCATACATTTATACAATATTATGCAGTCAATGGAAATTATAAAAATATATGTATTTTCAGATGCAGTAAGATGTATTACTGGGGCCAGTATTGTGTTGTAGTGGGTGAAACTGCCACCTGCATGACCAGCATCCCCTATGGGTGCTGGTTCATGTCCAGCCACTCCACCTCCAATCTAGCTCCCTGTTAATGGCCTGGGAAAAGCACTGGAAGATGGTCCAAGAGTTTGGCCAGATGAAGCTCCTTGCTTCAGCCTGACCAACCCTCACTGTTGCAGCCATTGGGGGAGTAAACCAGTTAATGGAAGATCCACCCCTGTGTGTGTGTGTGTGTGTGTGTGTGTATCTTTCTCTCTATCTCTCTGTAACTCTTTCAAATAAATAAATAAATACATCTTTAAAAAAAGAGATGTAATGCTAAACAAAACCAAAGATCACCAAACAGCATATGGGGTATGGTATTATTATTTAAACATCTGTAAGTATAATTTCACCTTTATGTTTAAAGTAGATTAACTGTATTGTGAGATTTGGGGTATATTTGCATTTGCTAATTTGTTTCCCATGAACAATGTTCATCAATGGTTATATACTTCCTTATATAACTATAATCTCTTAGAGAAATACTTAAAATATTACCATCTTTTATCCTACTTACTTTAGTTAATATACAAACATCATCCAATGACATGAGAATGAGCAAAGTATCACAGACACCAGAGAGGGGACAGTCCCTAAGGAGCGGCATGACCTAATCTACATCCATTGCTGGACTGCACACCTCATCCTAAAGGAGAGAAGAGATTTCTTTCAAGGAAAATTTAAGGGATTATAAGAGGCACTTGCATTTATGTTCATGAGTGACTATGAAATTTCATCACTCGCCAGTTTTATGATCACGCATATTAAAAGATTAAAAACACTTTCCTATTGTCACCAGTAAAAATCTATCAAGTATTTTAAATGGGGCGGAACTCAGGGAAGAGGCTATTTATCAAGGTACAGTTAAATTTATATACATCCTGATGGCTCAGATTTTGGAAATCCCTAAATATGAATTCTTAAAACAAGCCATACTCTACAGCCCCCGACAGTCTCCTTCTCTTCCACTTCTACAGCATCCGAGGAGCTGAGGCACATTGCCAAATGTTATCATTTTGCAGTCACCCAAGAACTTAGGCAATGCATTAACTAGTTTTCTACTTAGTTATATTTAATCTTCAAAACAAACCTAATATATATATTATTTTTCCCAACTGTATATTAGAAAAATGAGGTCTAGAGGAGTTAATCTACATGGGTGGCATACTGGCTCAAGCTATATCCCCCAGTTGGTAAGCAGCAAAACAGGATCTTACACCCTGAGCATTCTAACTCTTATATCCATATTTTCCCCCACCCCACTACTGTTCTCTTTAAATTATTTGTAAACAAGGAAATAACTAAGGTTCCTAGAGGCACCTGTCATATTTTAATTCTATTGAGCTAATTATTATGTATTATTGTTAATTAAAAAGCATAAAACCCATCCAGTACCTCTCCCTGTTTATCTCCTTTCTGATTTTAAATTAAGTCCAATTACTGAATGCAAGCTTAAAAAATATCCTATAGAAATTCAATATCTTAAAATAGCATAAATCGCTTTTGTTTATACAACTGTTTCATATCCAAGTTTATCAAAGCCTGTATTACTATAGCCATACAGTAGAGAAAACATCAGACCTCATCTTCCTCACTGTAGAATGGAGCAGAACTCAGGCTGTCTCTGTATGCACAAAGTCACAACCCGCCACGCTCCATTTCTATGCAACTCTACTCTACAGGATACTCTGATAAAGCAAAGCCTTGGACACGCATTTGTTTGGTTCTAACTCAGATGAAACACACAGCTCTTATTTGCTGAAATACCTAGAAACTCATGAATAGCAGATAGGAAAAAAAAAGCCCAGGTTTCATAGAGGGATTTTTTATAGGCAGAACTGACACAAGAACTGCAAAGTAGAGAGAGGGGATAGCATTGTATGACAGTTAATTTCACATGCAGTTCTAGACAATCTGTCCTTAGGAAACTGCTCACATGCTAACCCCATGGAAGAGGTAGAATATAGCTACTGGCTCAGAGAACCAGCACCAGGACCGAGTCAGACGGCGGTTCGTTGCCTTACTCACGAGGTTCAGAGAGAGACACCAGTGGGCTGCAGGTCACTTCGGAGGAATCTTTGGTAGGAAAACTATGCATTGGATGCAGCAGGTTCAGACATTCAAATTCAGAGAGTAGAGAACCTCACAGTACTGGTGTGATTGGAGGCACCTGTTTTGCAGCACACACTCAGCAGGGATATGGGTGCACCAGGCTTCTTGTTAGTGATCACGGATGCTAACTAGCAAGAACTCTAGAAATACTCCATATGCTTCAGCAGACTTGTATATCATTATCTAAAAACGCTGAAAAGCAGTGCAGGATTTTCTGGTTCACTGCGAGCAAGGTGGAGGGTGATGAGGCTCTGAAGAGGGAATGCAAAGGCCATGCTACACTCTCTCAAAGTAACACACTGTGGCTACTCCCCTAGTCCTCCAGGTAAATACAAAGTCCAGTTCTGCCTCATTTCCCACTATTTGCAGCTGAGGAAACTGCATATGAGAGCGCTTCTGCTGGTACTTTGTCCAAGGAGTCCACACTCCACGAACACCAGAGAGCAAAATCTCCACAAAGGTAGAAGCGACTTTTCTAAATTTTTTCTTAGTCTGCCTTCCAATCCCCACCCTGCTGCCTGCTGAAGAAACGCTGCCCAGGGGAGCTGCATTTGTGCGTCATCCCATTCCCAGGGTCCAGTGCTGCCACGCAGGTGGCAAACAATAGCAACCTGCTGAGCAGAGAGCATTAAACATAGATGTAACCAGAGACACAGGAGCCTCTCAGGGAACCTTCCAAATCCCCAAAATAAGCACGTCTCACTCCGCAGAACAGAATGAAGACATTATACAGGCCCAAAGGAGCCGTAAAGATCATCCAGCCTGATCTCCTAAGGTTACAGATGAGGAAACTGAGGCCCATAGAAGATGAAAACATTTCCCTATCACCAGCTCAGATTCAGAGCTACTGCCAAACCCACACGTGTGACAATCACATTAGTTTTCACTGAGGTACAGAACAACTTTAAAGCTGTGGTTTGTCATCCTTGCGGAGCAATCTTCACATTCTGACACCTTATTACTCTCGCTGGTGCTACTCCTTCTTCTAGGTAGTTAATTGTTTCTAAGAAATCATTTAAGTGCCCCCAGGGCGTAGTAACTTTTACAAATCCTTCTGTGAATCTTTCAAAGCAAAGGATGCTGTCATAATATGAAAAAGCATCATTCAATTTAACTATTTGAAAATTGGTACTTCTGCATATTGAGTTCTCCTTTCAGCAAGATACATCACTGAAGTTCTTTCTTATACACCAGAATCAGTGGTCTTAAATGTAAACAGAAAATGCATCAAACAAAGCTTAAATGGAAAATGGAGTAGTATTATTGTGTACTGAAATTTGAATTTAATGCCAAAAAAAAAAAAAAAAAACAAAAAAACTAAGCAGTGCTAAGATTGTCAGCTTCAGTTGTTGGAACTGAAATACCTCGTAAGGCTTTTGTATCTTTATTTTTGCAAAAGAAAAATAAAAGCCCTATCTGTCACAAATTATTTCAAAATCTTACAGTTTTTCCATTGATTTAGGAAATAAAGCAGTGCTAAAAGTTAGGAATATTATAAAATTTTGCAAATACTAAAATAATATTTGGGCTTTTTTTAGCATGCTAAAACAACTGTTTTGGTTTATTTTCTTCAAGAATATCGCTTTTTTCCATATTGAGGCTAAGCTATTTGTGAAGCCCATATGATAGTTATGATGTTTTAGATGTTCTGCACATTGATTTATTTTACTGCTTCTGGAATATTTTAAAGAAAGCACTTAGTTCCCAACCTCTGAGTCTATCTCCTATGACTCAGTACCATAATCAGTAATGTTTGTTATCTCCAAAGAGACCATCAAGCCACCAGTCTCAGAGACCTTTCTCTCAGGGGCTCTCCTGGTAGGCCTCCCCATCTGGTCCTTCTTGCTCTGAGGATGGTCTTAGTGGGGGCCTCAAAAGGCATGCAGACCTCATTCTTCCCAACTTGAACAAGTGCCAATGACCTGGGGGTAGGGGCAGGGAGCAACAACCAGCGGGCAGTCTCTGGGATAGCCCGGACACTATCAGCGCCTGCGCCTGCCTTGGCCAGCTGCGAATCTGTGTTCTGCCACCATTAACTGCCCCCTTAAATAGCTGAGCCTTCTGAACAGTCAAGAAGGCATCTTCGAAAAATATTCTATTTTCACTCCATCTCTTCCTGTCCTATAATTTGTTTTTAACATGACAGGGAGGGTTCTCAGGAAATGTGCTATGATAGGTTGTGAAACAAAGGTGATAGATGATAAGTCTTCCCTTACAGATGGTCTTCATCAAGATGACCTGTGTTTGAACTGTAACTTGAAGGTCACCACATACTGTGTGAAGTTCACACCCCTCACCAACACAAAGGCAGGA